ATCTTGAACAGAAAGCTTAAATATAGATATAAATTACCATCACCCCATCCAATGAAACGCGAACACTTTAGTTCAGTAACAAGGCATGACGGATCCCGATTTCACAGTAGACCTGCACCTACATGCACTTTGCTGAGAGCTCTTATAGTACCGGTAGTTATCACTTACTTTTACTTTATCCGTCCTCTTGCACATCTAGGGCTTCGAAGGGAGAAATAACTTCCTGTCTCTAGCAAGTTTGATGATCTGGCTGGGTGGGATATTGTATGTTCTCAGAGTATCCTTCACACCCAGGAACCAAATCTTTCTTGGTCTTCCTCTTGCCTTGTACCCAGATACTTTCCTGTAGTAGGCTTTACTGGCACGCTGGTTAAGTGCCATACGTGTGAGATGTCCAAACCACCTGATTGTTTGCCTTCGAATGTAGTGGAGGACTGGTGTTGTTCCCACCATTTCTTTGATCTTGTTGTTTCTGACCATGCCCGTCTGGTTTTGTTGACGGCTCTCCTTAGACATCTCATATCGAGGTGGTTGTCTTACGTTCCAGACTTTTGGTTAGGGTCCATGTCTGGCACTGGTAGGTCAAGGTGGGGATGAAGATAGAGTTAATGAGCTTGGCTTTGGTCTCAATGGAGATGTTAGGATGTTCGAAGAGTGGGGCAAGCTGGTAACTGACGCTGTTAGCCTTTTGTACTCTCGTCTCAATTCCTCTGTTGAGACGTCCGTCTTCCGAAAAGATGCTACCAAGATACTTTAACTCGCTGACTTGTTTCAGCGGATTTCTGTCAATGATGATATTAAGCTCGCCAGGTGTTCTGCTGATTTTCATCGTCTCCGTTTTGCTTTTACTGATCTTCATGTTGAGCTTTTCACATTGTGTATTCAGCCTGTCTGTGTGCTCTTGAAGTTGCTCTTCTTTCTCATATGCCAGGCTTTGGATCGTCTGCAAACAGTATCTCATTCAGGTCTATCGGGTTGGGGTTTGCTTCTATAGTAATTTTGTCCAGGTATATTATAAACAGTAGCGGTGAAAACACACACCCTTGTCTCACTCCAGATGACACGTCGACCCAGTCAGTGGGTCCATTTTGGGTGCGGACTGTGCTCATACTGTTGGTATAGATGGCTCTAATGTTGTCCAACAGTTGTTCCTTAATGCTGTACTCTTCAAGTGTTTCCACAGTTTGTTTCAATCTACTCTATCAAACGCTTTTTCCTGGTTTACAAACACAAGATGTAGTTCTTTGTTGTATGCAATTGTCCATTCACTCAATTATCTAAGAGTGGAGATAGCGTTTGTGCATCCTCTCCCTTTTTAAAGCCCATCTGCGCCTCACTCAGTAATGGTTCCAAGCTGTTCCTTGTCCGCTGTTCCAAGATCTTTGCGTACATCTTGCCTGAGTGGCTCAGAAGGGAAATTCCCCGATAGGTATTGCAGTCTTTCTTGCTGCCTTTCTTCGTTCATATTGGTATCACAAGTGCACGGTACCAGTCTTATGTTACTTTCCTCTCCCTGCATGCTTTTTGGAAAAAATGTGGTCAGCCAGGTGATTGCTGTTTCTCCATATGCCAGGATGGCTTCAGTTGTAATGCCATCAATGCCTGCTGCTTTGTCCCTTGGGCCTGCCGTGCCTCTGATCTTAAGATGTTTGGTTCTTCTTCTTCACTCTGCGTATTGTGGTGGAAATTGGCTCTGTGTGTTTCCTTGGCTGCTTGGGTTAAGGAGTTCCCTGAAATACTTCTGCCATCTATGGTAGTTATCAAAATTCTAAATACTAAAAATCTGCTTCCAAGTTCAGTTTTTGTCCTTTAGCGATGCCTTCAGCCGCCGCCG